CTCTATAATTCTTTTATTTATCTTTTTTATCAGTTTACTAACTATATTACTTTTTAAACTGTTTTTTTTCTTTTTTTTTGTCTGCAAAGCTAATTTTATTTGTCTTTTTTTAGTTAGTAACTGCTTCATAACATTTTTTTTATACATTTTTAAAGAAACCATTCTATGCTATATTTGTTCATATTGTTATAAACTCTTTAGCTTCTTTGAATGTTTGGATAAAGCTTTGTATTGTTGTTTTGGCTTTTTCTTAGATTAGCTTTTTTATGCTTTTTGATCTATATTCTTTTTTTTTTTTGATATTAAGGTAAGGCCTTGCTTATATCTTTATTAATAATTTAAAATAGTTATATATATATATGCTATAACTGAAACCAACACTTGCAATTAGAGCTAACCATTAAACTGCTATCTATACAGTTACTACTATTTGTATAAAACAAATAAATTGAAAATTACATGCAAGAATAAAAGCTTAGACTAATTTATCTGTAACCTAAACCTACTAAAGTGGTCAAAACTCATCTAAATTTGAATATTTAGTATATAATTTGATGATATGCTATATTTGATCTATAGAATAGACCAAATATTAATTTTGTGAATTGCTTGACCAATAGGAGAGCATATGTTAAAGTAAGTATATAGTTGATCTGAAAGTCTGCAGAGGCATGAATAAGTATAGTTCCTACAAAAACATATATGCCTAGTTGCTGAGTTAAATAATATTGAAGGTTTGTTAATTGGTTAAGATTGAGGTCTATTTTGTTGTTTTTTCTAGTTAAAGGAATGAATGCAATATGTTTTTCATAATTGTTTATATGATTGTTTATTAATATTGAGAAGAATATCAATAATAACTTGGGAGGCAATTTTGTATAATATATCAAAGTTTTGAACTATTGATATAAGTAACTTTGAAATAAGTTTTTTGAGAATAAGGTTAGAATAAAATGTATTAGGTAAGATGTATAAGGAATTAAGAGCTGGATAATAAAGAATTTTATGAATTAGATCATTTTTTTGATAAGTATCAAGATCAGATAATTTGCTAAAGATGATTTGATTGATAGATATTTAAATAATTTGGTTAAGCAAAAGTGTATTAGTGCAAGTATACTAATAAGAGTAAGAGTTAGCTAGGTTACAGTAAAAGCAATTAGTATTTGGATATTGGTTTAAATAAATAGTATAAAATAGTTGATATATTGGTAACTTATTAAAAAGAGTTTTGATTTTAAAGAATTTTAGTTAATTGAGTCTAATATTAGTAATATTATGTAAAGATTTTTGATTATAATTAAAATAAAGCCAAGTGGATCTTCAGTCAATATCCTGATTAAAGTATGATTACTTACTATTACATTTTTGAGATACTCATATTCTAATATGTAGGCTTTATATATATGCTTAATAAAATATCATGTAGAAAGTTTTACGTAATGTTGCTCTTATTGAAGAATATGATAAGAATTGAAAGGTTTGTGTAATTAAATGAAAGAAGTGGTGATGATGGATGTTGTTTGGCAAGAGAGTTTGCTTATTCATTAAGATTATTATCTAAATGAGCTTGCACTTTATGAAAGATAATTTGTAATTTGTGTAATTTAATAATATTAGAAAAAGTGAGCCAAATAGGCCATAAGTTAAATTTGAATAACTTATTAGAATGATTTAAGTAAAGTTGAAGGTTATTAAATTTGGAAATTACTGATTAGGAATCAGTAAAAATATTAACTACTAAATTGCATGAAGCTGTTAATATTACAGTAATAATTGAGAAAAGCTCAGCTTTATATGATGAGAGTTAGAACTGTATTTTAGCAGAAAAGAAGTTAATAGTTTGATTATTATTATCAACTTGAATCTAACCAATATCTATTGTGCATTGATCAATACTAATGTCAATTACTGGCCATTAGTATAAAAGAATAATTGTTGATAAGAGTGGTTAAATTGAGAGATAGATATAAGTTTGTTGGTAGTTTTATTTGGAATAAAGATTTCAAAAATGATTGAATTAGAAATAGGAATTATAAGTAGGAGAGAAATACAGATTAAATGCTTAACAGCTATAGAGCAGATAAGGTCCAAGTAATTTGCATTAAGGTTGAGTTAGTGTTTAGAATTAGTTTTGCCAAGAAATTGTGTTAAAATAATTGCAAAAACTTTGACAGTACAAGTTTGATTAATTCTGTGAGAATTAAGATGACATTCTGTATATCATTTGTATTTAGCAGGAGGTAAATAATAGAATTTTAAGTAATTTAAATCTATATTGGAAGTCCAGTGAGTGATAGAGTAATGGTTAAATGAGAGAAAGTATTTTTGTATTTTTCTAATAATAATTTTTTTATTATAATATGAAAGTAACCAAAGTTTAGATTTTGTAAGTTTTTTAGATATATTAATAGTATAATAGGTATAAAAGTTATGACCAGGTGATTGGTAGTATGGTAGTATATTTTGGTAGTAAGAGTATGCTAAAATTGTATCTTCTAAGTAGAAAAACTAAAGAGGTTTTCTTCCTTTAGATAAGAATAAAAGTCTAGGTAAGAGATGTTTCCAATCTAATAAGATACTGTTGTCAGCTGTACAGAGTTGTTCAAGATACATAATATTAGATTGTCTAAGTTGTTTTTTAAAGATTGGGTATTTGAAATGCTAAGATAAGATTGATTATAGTAACTGGCTTCTATTACTAATTGTATAAGGCTATATAATATTAGAATTGGCTAAGATTACTAAGCCTAGATAAATAAAAAGTTAGATAATTTTAAAGTTTAATAAGTGTTTGTTAGGACTATTAATAATTGGTTTAGGATAATATAGAATATTAATAAGAGACTATGAGTTATTTTGTAGTTGTTGAAGTCTAATTTAAGTTATAATGCCAAGAAGATTAGGATTGTTGATTCATTAGAGATAATTAAAGATATAATGCTAAAGTCAAATGTCATATATATTATAAATATTATATAAATATGAGTTAAGCATTGTGCTGTTTGGTATAGATCTGGAAAGATAAGACTTGTGTTTTGCTACAGTAAAGTATTTAGATAAGATTTAGTTATATATAGTATAAGAAAGAATAGTATTATATAATCAATATTCTAAAGTTGAAATAATTATTATATTAATAATGTAAACAATTTGTTTGTTAGTAATTTTCTTTGTACTGGTAATATTAATAGAATTATAAGCCTCTTTTTTTATTAGTTTGATAGCTTAAGATTGTTTGTTATTAAGTATAAACCAACATCTAAGAAACTTGAAAGGTTGATTTTTAGAAATAGAATAAATTAAAGATTTAGAAAACTACATAGAAGTGGTAGAGAAGTTTGTGACTAGAATAGACTTTGTTAGATTAATCTAAATATTGGCTATTTGATAAAAGGATGTGGCAGTTTTAGTTAATAGATTAAGCTCTTTTTTTGATTATGCAATTTAGAAAATATTATTCATATAAGCTAAAACTGATACAGATGTTTTTAAAGTTTGGGTTTGAGATGAGTGAAAGTTGGTTTTCCAAAATGCAGATAAAGAATAGTCTAAAAATTGTAAGGCAATTTTATAAATTAGAGAATCATAATAAATTCTTCAGAATAATGAAGTTATAGTTTCTTCTTGATCTATACCCTTTTTAACTAAATAAAAGTTAGTAAGATCAAGATTAGATATAACCTAGTTTTGGTAATTAGTAAGAAGATTGGTAAGTATATTAATAAGGGTTTAAGACATTGATATCTGTTTAAAAGACTTTGTAAAAAGTTTTAAATTGACAGAATCATATGCTTTGCTCATGTCTTGAGACAAAAGCTATAATTGTTTTTTTTTTTTTTTTAGTTAAAGTTCCTATCTTAGGAGTTGTGATGTTTTTATTCAAATATATTAGGACATGGCATGCCACCAGGGGCTTACCTTACATTGGAGATTACAACTAGCCACATGTACACTTTTGGTGCCTAATTTAAGTAGTTTGCTTATACATTACTATATAAGTTCTACATTAGTTGCCATATCTGCAAGCCAACTAGGAGTCTTGCCTATTTAAACCTTCTGCATATGCAGTCCTTCTTGTATTATGAGAACATCTCGAGATGCCACCCATCCAAGTTCCTGATGCTTATTGGTCTTCTTAGGACTACTTTATCCTTGATAGGAAACTTACTAGAGCCTTTATGTTCCATACATATAGACCTAGTTTTATGCAACATGCTATAATTACCTAACACTTGTAGTCACAGGAGTTACCTGTTTAACCACTACGTTACACTATTTCTACCCTTGTAAAGTTCACTAGAACCCCAGTACTCATCTTTTTAGCATCTTCTCTATCATCCCCTACTAGCTGCAACTCAGAACCATCAGTCTCATTCCAGACTACCAATTTAGATAGCCTGATATAGTATACTTCTGTATCCTTTTCCTCTGGCGAACTTGGCAGCCTGGTTGGTTATATGCTCCTCTACACATATTTGTCATCCAGTTTTAATCTTCAATTCCTATGAAGATGTTTTATGGGCTTCAACTGGTTCAATGGTACCATTGAAAGTTCATGCTACCTTTTTATTTGGGAATTTCCAAGTGGGTTTCTGTCACCTCAGTTCCTTAGTCTTCTACATCTGATGGTCTTATTGTGGGTTTGCACTGAAGTCTTATGCAACACCGGTAAACATTCCTCTATGTATATGTAATGTTACATTTCATATAGATGCTTTGAGCTTCCAAAGCTGGGAGGACCTGGCCTGGTGTATCTGGGTAACAGCCACATAAGGCCAACCAATCAACAGGAGACAGTTACTATAATGCAGATATAATTTCCAAATTTCATCGTAGGTGGGATTTGAATCTTAGACCTGCTACTTGAAGAATGACAACCCAACCACTACACTAGGATTACTATCCTCTTTTTTTAATTCTAATGCACCACTATTATAGTTGTGTTTATAAAAAACTAGTATCTATAAACTCATATGTCTTTTTTTGTAAATAGATAGAAAATATTTCTCCTTTACGATTTTCTCGAAGATATATCATTGTTTGAAAAAGCTTTGATGCATCAGAAATTTGGTGATCAGGTAAGTTTAAAACATGTATAAACATATCATTATGTCTTGCTTAAATGCAAGTATTTATTTTTCGAGATTCAATTATTTTTTTTATTATATAATTGAAATCATCATCTTCTAATTTTTTGAAAATTGGAATTAAATGATTGAGCAATTCTTTTTTTCATTCACATTTTCGCAAACTTCTACTATTTTTAAGTTGCTTATTTTGTGATTTTGGTCGACCTATGATGTGTATGCTTTTTAGGATAATTTTATTGTTTTAGATGAAACTTGTAATATATTATACATAGAACTGAGATGTTGGCTGATTTGATTATATTTGAGTTTTGGGTATGTTTAAAATTTTTAATTTGATAATAATTACATATATCTAGTTTAACTCATATATTTATAGATTTATAGTTCTATTTGTCAGATGGTTTAGTTAAGAAACATGATAGGTTTTGAGGATCCTGCATTGTTAGGTTAATTAAGTTAGGTCACAATATATTTAGAGTTTCAGAAATAACTTTTTTTTTTTTATATAGGTATATTTATTCATTAAATGAATGCAATTAAGTTTCTATTACAACAAACTCTAGTCTTTTTAATATTTTGTGACTTATTAAAATCAAACAATTGGAATCAAGAAATTAACATTATAAGACCAATAATTATTGAACAGATGTAGAAAACTAATTATTGCTTGCTTTGATTTTGTCATGGCAATATGTATTTCTGTTCAATAAAATGCTTCATTATGGTGTGTTTGTGTATTTTTAAGTATTAACTAGACTATAAAGTGCATTATTTATTATTATTTTTTACATTTCTAATTGTAAAGTCATACAGATAATGTCTAACTCATATTCATATTTAAAGATAGTTTAGACATTATCTATATGACTTTACAATTAGAAATGTTAAAAAAAATAATAGTAAATAATGCACTTCAAGTCTAGTTAATACTTAAAAATACACAAGTGCACCATAATATATTACATATAGTTCTATTGTGGAATGAAATGCTCTTCATAATAAAGATATAATAATGTTTTTTTTTATAATTTATTAGAATTGCTACTATATATTAGTTTTGAATTCAACTTAGTTATAATTAGAAGTGCAGGCAAATTATCTTAATGATGCCCCAATAATGCCCCAATGATGCCCCAATGATGTTACGGCTTAAGCATAACTAGCTAAATCTTATATCATAACTAGTTATGACAATTATTGAGTAATTTATCTACATCTTAGATTATAATAAAACTTTTAAACTTATTTGTATCAAATGAAATCAGTCAAAAAAAAACAATTGTTATTTAATAAGATACAGAATCTAAAAATGTACTTTAATATCGATAGTTTTTTGGATTGTATTTATAAAACTATGTAGCATTAAGATAATTATCAGACTAATAAAATAAAACTATGTAAGGATCTTTATTCTTCTTGAGCTACATTTTGAATAAAGCTTGTTTACTTTATTGATGAATTGGTACTTGTAAATAGAATAAATTGAAAAATACCACTATTATACTATTCTAAGTGAGTTAAAATGTTGTTTACAACAAATTAAAATAGCAATTATTATGGTTTAAAAGAAAACTGTACCAAAAGTTGATATTATCTGTAGTAAATTCAGATCTTTATATTATAGATGATTCTAATTAATGTAGCATGTAATTAAATCAAATTAATAAATACATTTTTCAAAAAAAGAGTAGTGAAAGTAGTTTGGTTATTAAAATAAATTATTATTTAATCAGTTATAATAGAATCTAAGAATATACTTGGAATTTTGACATTGTATTATAAAACTCTAGCATAATAATTATAAAAAACATAATTTGATCATATGAATAATTATTTTAGCATTTTTGTAAAAAAAATAACAAATAAAATCTTAAATTGCTTTTTAATAATCTGTATTGTTTATTAAAAATATGATATATAGCAGTTTATAGTAATTCAAAAGCATCTATAGGGATTTTTATATTAAAGGTTTTTATTTATCAATCAGAAATTGGTATAGTATATACCTATATTTATATCTCAATATGAGAAAAATAATTGTAGATATAAATTTGAAAAGTATACAGTAATATGTAACTTCTAATAATTAGACATAAAAACCTTTAACATACTGACATGCATTAATGGCCCTCTAAATAGTTAAATATCAAAGTTAGTAACAATCTATAGTGTAATGCAAAAAATTCTTCAACAAATAAGTGCTGTAGAGTGAAAACCTGGAAGTGAATCTTGAAGTTTATCACTGTAGTGGACTTAGTTTTATAATATATAATAAAGACAAAGTTTGCTATAGTAATAAACTTAAAGATTTACTTTCAGGTTTTTACTCTATAGCACTCAAATATTCGAAATAGACTATAAAGGGATATTTCTATACTTTCTGTATTCATCTAGTTACATGACTTCTAAAATGATACACAACTTCTAAAATTTAATTAATAATAAAATAATTAATAATTAGTTATCATATTAATATTATTAATAGTTTTTAATTGTTAAAATTTGACAATTGTTAGCAATTGACGTGTAATGCATTAATAACAGCATATTAATAATTGTTAATAATAATTATTATTAATTATTAATTACACTAGTCGAAATTAAAAAATTCGACATATTGAATTTTCTAATTTCGACTAGTGTAATTAATAATTCAAGAGATTCCATCACTATTCATATCAACAAAATTAATAAATATAATACTGGCCATGTTCAACAATGATATTAATCTAAAAATAATAATTAGCATTATTAGCAAAAACAAAAAAGATCTTAAAATTCAAATAATAAGAATTTAACAGACTCTTCAAGTTTCTTTTCTATAGCATACTTAATTAATTTTAAATATATTTAAAGGTGCAGGTAAATCCAAAGCTGCTGTATTATATAATAAATTACTCTAATAACTTGAACAATTTGATAATGCTGAATAGGAATTTTTTCAAAGAGTTCAATCTCTATTTTTAAAATCATGAAAATTATATAAAGTTAATTACTTTTCTATTAATTACTAATATTCAATATTACATTCCGAACTTTCATAATTATGTCAACATTACCTTATCTAATTTATAATTCTTCTGAAGAATTCTCCTATGAAGATATCCAATTTTCTCTTCAAGAGAAAAAAAATGTCTCAAACCTAAAATCAAAAAAAAACAATTAAAAAAATGAAAGTTTGAATTGGTTCATAAATACCTCGATAAGCTTAGTGATAAACTTAAAATTTTCAAGTTCTGCAAGAGATATAAAGATGAATTAAAAGAGAATACATCAATTTCAACTACAATACACCAACTTGACATAAAATACCTACACCTCTTGCAAGCCAATAAACCTTTCTTTAATTCTATTATTGAACAACACTATATTGAGTCTTTGAATTATGATTTAATGTGATGGATCATCATTAACAAACAACTATTTTCAATAGTTGAAGAGGAATCTTTTGTAAAATTCATCACAAATCTTAATCCATATTACAAGATTCCTTGCTATCAAATCTTCTCTATGAATGTAAGAAAATATTTTGACTTGCAAAAAGTAAAAATTAAAGAAATCTTAAAGAGCAATAAAAGTAAATTAGCACTTGCCTTAAATGTTTGGATGGCATACACACAACAATCTTTTCTTGTAATCACTGTAAATTGGGTTGATATTAAGTGAACAAAAAGAATGCTTTTCCTCAACTTTATTCCTTTGCCCAAAGCTTATACAGAAAAATCTATTAGTGAAAAAATTCTTGAGCTCGTTAAAAATATGGAAATAAAAAAACAAATTATCAGTTTTACAAGTAATAATATAGTAAATAATTTGGATAATCGATATGTCTAAATTTTTTTCAAAAAACCATTAGTTCTGATCTTAAGTATATGCACTGCACTGCACATATTATTAGTCTTATTGCTGAAGCTGATCAAAAAAAATATTTTAATCAAATTCAGAAGGTTCAGAATTTCTGTAATAAAATAAATTTATCTTGGTCCTGAAAGAAATGGAAGAAATTTCTGCTATCTTAAATTGTCCATTTTATTATCCTATGATTGATATTGAAACTAAATAAACTTCTACTTATTTAATAATAGAAGGACTCTGTCAAATCCAATCCATTATTGATAGTTTTATGATATCTTGCCCGAATTTAAAAAATGATTGCTTAGAAGTTGACAATTTGGTAATTATAAAAGAAATAATATAGCTTTTTAAACCATTTTACACAGCAGCTTCAGTCTTTTTAAATACTCTGCAACCCTCTCACGAGTCTTTACGATTAATTTTTTTAGATCTTTCAATGCATCTAAATTAATATATTTTGATTAGTACACATGGTAATACAGCAAAAGAAATGAACAATAAATTAAAAAACTACTGGACTTATCTTTCAAAGTCTTCACTTATTTCTACTCTTCTTGATCTGTCCACTAAGTCAGAAACACTTTATGAAACTGATTATAAAATTGCTATTAGTCAATTAAAAATTCTTTATTTACCATATAAAACAAGTAACTCAAAAACAGTTACTAAACCTAAAGATCTATTAGAAACTTTCCAAAAATTTATTAAATTAAGTGAAAACAGAAAGTAAAGTGAAAAAAAATAGATGAATTAGAAACTTACCTTTCTCTTCCACAGGAACCAGAAACAGATCCATTATCATGATGGAAAGTAAAAATGCAATGTTTTCCAATAGTATCTTCTATTGCAGCAGATCATTTTGCTCTGAAGGCTATGAATATTCCTTGTGAACATGCTTTTTCTGATATAAAAGATACCATTAATTTTAATCTTACTAGTGATGATCTTAAGGAAACAGTTAAAGCTTCATTACTTCTAAAAAATTGGTTCAAAGAAGGAATTATTGCATAGAAATATATATATCTATAATCTAATATTTTTTATCATTATCTTTGTACAACATAACTAATAAATAAAAATCTAAATTTTATAAGTAGCTATTAGTTCATTTAACATGCTCATGAGAAAAAGATCATTTAATTAGCAAGCCAAATTTCTAACATTGTTATTGTGTATAGATACCTTTAATTAAACATTTTGTATTTACAGAATTAAAAAATGTTAGATATTATGGAAGGAATTAAAGATGAAAGAAGACGATTTCTTTATAGTCCTTAATATTGCATGCAGATCTTAAAAATTTTTACTATCGCTATTAAAAAATTTAATTAATGATTTTTACTATACACCTGCACTATGTTTGTAAATAAGCTTGCATGATACACTCCAGTAAAATACGATATTTAGAATATTCCATTGCCTTTTAAAATGATTATAATCAGTTTTTATTAAATAGTTCAAAAATCCCCTCCTCATGATTTTTATCTCATTAAATTGAAAGATCATGTGTAAACAATCTTTAGGATTAAATCACATTAGAAGGAAAAATTTTTACTTAATATGTAATACCATTG